AAGAATTTCATTAGTGTTTTGATGCAAACTGCATCAAATGTGCACATTACCTGGGACAAGATAAAAATCTCAATTATACAAATTGCTTCAATCTAGGAACATGGGACTTGATTTTCATCATTGTTTTGTGATTTTATTGAAGAGATATTTCATATCCTCAGTAAAACTTACTGAAAGGTATTTTATTTTCTTGTCACAATTATAAATATATTCTTATAATTTTTTCCCTGTGAGTTCACTATTATATACAGAAGTGCCACTGATTTTATTTTTACATTGTATTGTCAATTTTGCTGAACTCATTTATCAGCTCCAGAATTCTCTTGATGATGTTCTTAGGTTTCTCTCTGTATAGAACCATGCTATCTGCAAACAGAAATATAAATTTGAATTCTTACTTTCCTCTTTGAATAGATATTATTTCTTCTCTTTAATTTCCTGTTTTCTTCATTGAGCAAGAGAATTGTTTTTTTTTTTTCAAAGAATCAACTCTTACTTTTATTAATTTTAATATTGTTTAAGGTTCTTCCTTCTTTATTTTTTTCTAAGATTTATTTATTTGAAAGGTAAAGTTACACAGAGAGGTAGAGACACACACACACACACACACACATATATATATATATATAGAGAGAGAGAGAGAGAGAGAGAGATCTTCCATCTACTGGTTCACTCCCCAAATGCCACAATGGCAAGAGCTGAGCTAATCTGAAGCCAGGAGACAGGAGCTTCTGGGTTTCCCATGTGGGTGCAAGGGCCCAAGGACTTTGGCCATTCTCTGCTGCTTTCCCAGGTTCATTAGCAGGGAGATGGTTCAGAAGTGAAGCAGTTGGGTCTCGAGCCAGCCCTCATGTGAGATGCTGATACTGCAGGCCAGGGCTTTAACCCACTGTACCATAGCATTGGCCCCTTCCTTATTTATTTCTGCTATGATCTTTATTATTCACTTTTTTCTACTGTCCTTTGGTTTGACTCTTACTGTTTTTTTCTGAGTCCTTGAGAAGAGTAGTAGGTTTCTTAACTGATATTTCTTGTGTTTGTAGATGAAGTAATAGATTTTAGTTTCTATTTTTCCCTTATAATCGTGGGGACCTTCTAGATGACTGTAGGAAATGATGGAAGAAATGAGGATGTGTTAATTTGCTAACAAAATACTACAGGTAATATGATTTAAATCATGGAATTTTACTTTTCAGAGCTGTGGAGATTGAAAATTCAAGATCAAGGTCGGATTTTAAATTCTCAGGAGTGGGATGGACTGCCTGCTCCACTTCTGATGCAGTTGCCTATTACAGGATTTAAATAATAACATGATAGTTAAGAGACTGGCATTTGAATGAGTTTTGTGTTAGCTAATTTGTCATTAGTATGTGGCAATTATAAACATAATTAGTAATTTAATAATAATTATTAATAACTGTGGTCTTGAATTCTGGTATTGTGATGCCTCCAGCTTTGGTTTTATTGTTTAAGATTGGTTTAACTAATTGGGATCTCTTACATTTTCATATAAGTTTTTAGCATAATTTTTTCTAGATGAAAGAAGATTGGGATTACATTGACTCTGTAATTGCTTTTGGTGGGCCAGTGCTGTGGTGTACTGGGTTGAGCCTTTACCTGCATCACTGTCATCTCATGGGCATTGGTTCAGTTCCTGGCTGCTCCTCTTCTGCTAATTGCCTGGGAAGGCAGTGGAAAATGGTTCAAGTGCTTGGGCCCCTGCATCACATGGGGAACCTTGCTCCTGGCTTCATATCAGCCCAGCTCCAGCTATTGTGGCCATTTGGAAAGTAAACCAGCTCTCTGCTATGGCCTGGGTAAGCAGTGGAGGGTGGCCCGAGTCCTTGGGCCCCTGCACCCATGTGGGAAACCCGGAGGAAGCTCCTGGCTCCTGACTTTGGGTCAGCACAGTTCTAGCCATTGCGGCCATCTGGGGAGTGAACCATATGGGATGCCAGTGCTTCAGGCCAGGGTGTTAAGCTGCTGCACCATAGTGCAACTCTGCCTTTCAAATAAGTGAGTAGATCCTTAAAAATAAAATAAAACAATTTAAATATTGCTTTTGGTAGTATGGGCTTTTTGATATTAATTCTTCCAATTTATGAATATGGAATATTTTTCCTTTTTGTGTTTTCTTTTATTTCTTTAATATTTTGTAATTTTCATTGTGGAGTTCTTTTACATTCTTGATTAAATGTGTTCCAAGGTATTAAGAGTTTTTTTAGCTATTGTGAATAGTACTGATATGATAAGTTCTTTATCAGCCATGACATTGTTTTTTCATATAAAGGCTTCTGATTTTTGTGTGTTAATTTTACATCTTGCAACTTTACCAAATTCTCTTATGAGTTCCAATAGTCTCTTAGTGGAGTCTTTTTATTTCATTATATATAGAATCATGTAATTTACAAACAAAGATAAGTCAGTTCTCTCCTTTCTAATTTGTATCCCTTTGATTTCTTTTTCCTGCATTATTGCTCTGGCTAAATCTCTTAAAACTGTATTGAATAGCAGTGGTGAGAATGAGCAACTTCATCTGGTTCCAGATCTTAGTGGAAATGCTTCCAACTCTGAAGATTTATCATATGTTGCCTTGAATATGTTAAGAAATATTCCTTTTATACCCAGTTTGCTTAAGGTTTTTGTAATGAATTGTATTTTATCAAATACTTTCTCTGCATCAATTGAGATCATCATGTGGTTTTTATTCCATTTATTAATGTGATGTATCACATTTATTGATTTTCTTATGTTGAATCACTCCTGCATGCTAGGGATACATCCCTCTTGATCCATGTGAATGATCTTTCTAATGTATTGTTGGATTTGATTAGCTGGTATTTCAATGAGGATTTTTGCATGTATATTCATCAGTTGTATTGTTCTGTAGTTCTCTTTGTTGTATATGTTTTTCTGATTTAGGAATTAAAGTGATGCTGGCCTAATAGAAGGAATTTGGGGATTACCTCCCTTTCAGTTGTTTTTAATAGCTTAAGAATTTGAATTAGTTCTTCTTTAAAAGTCTTGTAGAACTCAAAAGTGAAGCTGTCTGGTCCTGGGCTTTTCTTTGTTGAGAGGATCTTTATTACTGATTCAACCTCTTATTATTATTATTATTATTATTATTTTGCTTAGGTTTTCTTTGTCTCTTCATGACTCAATTTTGGTATATTGTATGTGTTCAGGAATCTTAATTTCTTTTGGGTTTTACTTTTTGTTAGCTATTGCATCAAATTCTCACAGTCTAAATTGAAGTGATAATCTGTTTTGAGTACTGTACTTCCAAACCATTTTCATACTAATATTCCTGGAAACAGTGGATGATGGCTCACATTCTTTAGTTCCTGCCACCTAAGTGGAGGACTTTAGAGCCTGGTCCAGCCACAGCTATTGCAGACATTTAGAGAGTGAACCAGCAGATGGAAGATCTCTCTGCTTCTCTCTCCCTCTCTCTCTCGCTTTCTCTTTCTTTCTGTGTTTGTGTGTGTCTCTCTCTCTGCCTTTTTAAATCACTTTAAAACCTATTTATTTATTTATTTGAAAGTCAGAGTTACAGAGAGAAGGAGAGACAGAGATCTTCCATCAGCTGGTTCATTCCTGAGATGGCTTCAGTGACCAAGAGGTGGCCAAGTTGAAGCCAGTGGCTTCTTCTGAGTCTCCCATGGGGGTGGCAGGAGCCCTAGTACTTGTGCCATCTTCCACTGATTTTCTGAGGCCATTGGCAAGGCGCTGGATAAGAAGTGGAATAGATGGGACTTGAAATGGTGCCCATACAGGATTTCAACTTAACAGGTGGCAGCTTTGCCCACTGAACCACAATACCAGCTTCCCTCTCTGCCTTTCAAATAAGTGAATGTTTAAAAAAAGAATTGAAAAACACCTTAAGGTAGTAAATGTCATCATCACTGAGCAATGAGAAATCTATTGAAGTGATCTTTTTAAAAGATATATTTTTATATTTGAAAGGCAGTGTTAGAGACAGAGAGAGAGAGAGAGAGAGAGAGAGAGAGAAGAAGAAGAAGAATCTTCATTCTGAGCTGCAATGATTGTGGCTAGTCCAGAGAGGGGGAGGGGAGGGGGAGGGGGAGAAAGAGAGAGAGAGAGAGAGAGAGAAAGAGAGAGAGAGAGAAAGAGAAAGAGAAAGAGAAAGAGAAAGAGAAAAGAAGAATCTTCATTCTGAGCTGCAATGATTGTGGCTAGTCCAGACTGATGTCAGGAGCCAGGAGCTTCTTCTAGGTCGCTCACATGGGTGCAAGGGCCCAAGCATTTGAGCCATCCTGTGTTGTTTTTCCAGATATATAAGCAGGGAGCTGCAACAGTTTGGAGCATTAATGTCTATGATACTCCCCTTGCAGTTCAAGGGCATAAAACCCATCTAGCACAAAGACCCATTTATGGGTGGGCCAAGATTTCAACTCTCCAGGTTTGGGCTAGATGGTTTCTGGGCAATTGTGTTAAAATAAACATTAAGCTATAATAACTCTTTTTTTTTTTAAGATTTATTTATTTATCTGAAAGTCAGAGTTACACAGAGAGAGGAGAGGCAGAGAGAGAGAGAGATGTCTTCCATCCGATGGTTCACTCTCCAGATGTCCGCAACATCCGGAGCTGCGCCGATCCGAAACCAGGAGCCAAGAGCTTCTTCTGGGTCTCCCACGCGGGTGCAGGGGCCCAAGCACTTGGGCCATTTTCTACTGCTTTCCCAGGCCGTAGCAAAAAGCTGGATTGGAAGAGGAGAGCCAGGACTAGAACCAGCGCCCGTATGGGATGCCGGCGCTTCAGGCCAGGGTGTTAACCCGCTGTGCCACAGCGCCAGCCCCAAGCTATAACTCTTGGTTTAAGCTTTTGTAGCAGAGTTTCATGTTATTCAATGATAATGTCTATGGCAACTTTGAGCCTCTGGATTGCAACCAGTGAAAGTGTCCAGACCAACAGTAGTGAGATCAACAGTCAGCTGAATGGTGTCCAGGTGAACTTAAATGGCTTTTCTTGTTTGCTAGAGGAGTGATCTCCTTCAGTAACCTGACATCTGGACGCTGACAGTAGACATTGAAGGACATCCCCTTCGCCAAGTGGAGTATGCCAAGTTTGGATCCATCCTATGGTAAGGAGGCCTCAGTAGTCATGCTCTGTTTTTACTGTTCTAGATCAATGGCCAAAGTCTTGGCCTCATAGGCAGCCAACTCTAAGCAGGACTTACTGTGTAAAGTGAGTCTTAAGATTCCTTTTGTTGCTGTTTTAATACTATCTCTGACTAACCTGGATGCCTGCGTGTACACAACAAATTATCTATACAATTATACAAACTAGAATATAGATAACTGATAGTAGTGTACATGTAAAATCAATATAGCAGTCCATAAGATAGAATATTTGAAATTAAAACCAACGAGAAGTAGAAAAATGATAACAATATGAGCTCCATTACAATATATATGATATCCACTATACATATTTTTTTAAGTAAATCACTATGAGGGATATAACAAAAACTTTCACACTAACAGTAACACAGATTGATCTACATAAGGGTACAGAAATATTCCAAATTCATTTCCACATAAAATGTGACTTCTGTTTTGCATGATGCATTCTGTACTTATTTGTGAATATGGCTATTAATTCCTGAGAAAATGTATTAGCATGTTTACTGACCTAATATGGTTATTTATTTTAAGATTTATTTATTTATTTGAAAGAGTTACACAGAGAGAGAAGGAGAGGCAGAGAGAGAGGTCTTCCATCCACTGGTTCACTTCCTAACTGGCCGCAATGGCTGAAGCTGCACCGATCTGAAGCCAGGAGCCAGGAGCTGCTTCTGGGTCTCCCATGCAAGTGCAGGGGCCCAATGGCTTGAGCTGTCTTCTACTGCTTTCCTAGGCAATAGCAGAGAACTGGATCAGAAGTGGAGCAGCCGGGTCTCGATCTGGTGTCCATATGGGATGCTGCACCGCAAGTGGCGGCTTAACCCACTACACCACTGGGCCAGCCCCACCCAATATGGTTAATTCAGGGAGCATGCATGTGGAGAAAGGTGGCATTCAATGTTATCTCTCTTACATTACATATTCTTACAGAATATGCTAATGAATCAAATTATTAGAAAGTAAAATACGATCAGACAACACTGGTTGGTACATTACTGTATATTTTCATTAATGATGAATAGCTCAAAATTGACCTCAAAGTTTAGTCCATGTGGGATCCTGAATTAGTTTCATTCTCTGGTCATTACTTTGTTTATATGGCAGGGACTACATTTTTCGTTCTTCATTAAGTACTAATCAAGTATTAAAGCTCTTCTCTAATACTCGGAAGGTATAACTAAGACCCAGGGAGAGGAAGTGAGTTGTAAAAGACTAATCAAAAACAATTGAGTGTGGCCTTCCTACTTTCTTTCTTCTCTGGAATCCCCACAGAACCTTCATCTCCAATTCCAAAATCAGCAATTCCTACTGTCAGAGGTATGTGGCTACCATTATAGAGAGCAGTAATTCTTGGAAAGGACAAGGTAATCCACTATTTCATAACAACATTGTAGTTGTATGATGCTGGGAACTAAGCAATAATTTGATTAAAGGTCTGAGGTGAAGTTATTTAAGATGGAAGCTCAAGACTGAGGTCCCGGGGCTGGTACTGTGACTTAATAGGTTAAGCATCTTCCTGCAGTGCCAGCATACCCCATATGGGTACCAGTTCATGTCCTGGCTTCTCCTCTTCTGAACCAGCTCTCTGCTGTGACCTGGGAAAGTAGTAGAAGATGGTCCATGTCCTTGGGCCCCTGCACCTGTGTGAAAAACCCAGAGGAAGCTGGCTTCAGATTGGCCCAGGTTCAGCCATTATGGTCATTTGGGCAGTGAACCAGTGGTTGGAAGGCCTCCCTCTTTCTGTCTGGTTCCTGGCTTCAGATTGGCCCAGCTCCAGCCATTGTGGCCATTTGGGCAATGAACCAGTGGTTGGAAGGCCTCTTTCTGTCTCTCTCTATCTATAGCTCTGCCTCTCAAGTAAATAAATAAATTTTTTAAAAATCTGGAAGTATTAAACAACAACAAAAAAAAGGACTGACCTTCAGTTTGCAGAATAAAGTCAATGAAAAGAATTATCAGATTAGAGATGATACAGGAATTTGAACAGCACAATTAATACATTATTATACATAGAAAAAAATGACCAATAGCTGTGGGCCAAGAGTCAATGGCCTATGACATACCACTCAAATTCTCCAGAACATGATCATAATTTCATGTCCATCTGATTTAGACAAGAAAAGGAGTAAAAGCAGGAGCTCATTGACACCCTTATGTTTGGTATACTTGCCTAATTTGTGGGGGATACTGCAAATTAAGTGCAGATCTCAAAAAATAAAATTTTGCTAAATATATATAGATGATGGAGTGATGAATAGATGAATTTCAGGAATTTTGGGGTAAAAAATTACCAGGTAGTGCAATTTTAAATATTCACAAAGATTTTACAAGGCACTCACTCTGTTTTCCAGCCATATTAATCCATTTAATGTATTAGAATAATTTTCATCACTGTGAAATATGATCCATTAATTACCCACAAATTGTTTTAGTAAGATCAAGTATCATTTTAAATAGTTAAAAATGAATTTTTCAGGAATAGTAGTTTCTTCAGTGTCATTGGGGTTTTTTTCCCCTAAGTATCTGTAAGAAGGGCTCTAGAACCACAGTCAAATTATGATAATTAAAGCAATAAATTTAATGACAATTTCCAAAAATTATATCAACATTTGAATTTCTCCATTTATAGTATGTTTCTTTCAAATGTAAATTTGCCAAATCAAGAATTAATGAGGAATTGAAGTATTATGTGGTTATCTCATGTTGCTAGACAAGCTCTTTTTTTTAAAGATTTATTTATTTTTTGAAAGGCAGAGTTACACAGAGAGAGAGCAAGGTCTTCCCATCTGCTAGTTCACTCCCCAATTGGGTGCAACAGCCAGAGCTGTGCCAATCCAAAGCCAGGAGCCAGAGCTGCTTCCAGGTCTCCCACGTGGGTGGAGGGGCCTAAGGACTTGGGCCATCTTCTGCTGCCAGCACTGCAGGCAGAAGCTTCACCTGCTATACCACAGCACCAGCCCCTAGACAAGTTCCAGTGTATCCCCTCTGTGTCCCAGGAGGCTGATTTTCTAGCATATAGATTATCCTTATTGCTTCCTAATGGAGTTGTGCATTGGTTTGTGGTAAGTGTAGCCTCTTCTGCCCACTATGTCAGCAGGGCAGAACCATGGAAATTCTCCTGTCTTCCTTCTCAGCATATGCCATTCCAACCACCCCCACCATCTTTTTCTTTTTTCTTTCTTTTTTTTTTTTTTTAACAGGCAGAGTGGACAGAGAGAGAGACAGAGAGAAAGGTCTTCCCTTGCCGTTGGTTCACCCTCCAATGGCTGCCGCAGCTGGTGCACTGCGGCCAGCGCACCACGCCGATCCAACAGCAGGAGCCAGGTACTTCTCCTGGTCTCCCATGGGGTGCAGGGCCCAAGGACTTGGGCCATCCTCCACTGTACTCCCAGGCCACAGCAGAGAGCTGGCCTGGAAGAGGAGCAGCCTGGACAGAATCCGGCGCCCCGACCGGGACTAGAACCTGGTGTGCCTGTGCCACAAGGTGGAGGATTAGCCTATTGAGCCGTGGCGCCGGCCAACCCCCACCATCTTTACAGAGTTCCTGGCCCTGGGGCTTTCATCATATTACTCAAGAAGTGTGTGGTTGGTTTCTCTGTTTGTGAATGTTGTTGTGGGGATAGAAGGAACCTTGGAGAGCAGTACAGGTATCTGTCTCTTGCTGGCATGAGTGACAGTCATGGATCTGAGGTGTTTGGATCTGTCATTTAGGTGCACCCTGTAGATTTTTGCTGGTCCAGGAGGGACATCAGTGGTAGTTCCTCAGTTCCAGAGCTGGAAAAAGGGTGAATAAGGTTGAGATTTCAAGGTTTTTTTGCCAAATGATGCACAGACGGAAGACCAGTGTGCCTCCAGGCGTAGAAAAAGTAGTTCCAAAAGTCCTATAGACAGTATGCCTCATCCAAGATGGCCATAGCATGGAGATAGGTTTTCAGGCTGTTTCAGCTGAAATGTATATGGAGTAAATATAGGTTGCACCTCTGCTATTGTTTAGCCACCTGTAAGATGAATATGTTAGCAGTACTAATAAAATGTTCCTACATTCTCTGAGAAACCACTTTTGAGGTGTGTGCAGGCTGACTTACACTATGTAGCAGTTAAATTTGTGGGGTTTCTTTTTCTTTTCTATGGTACAGTGTAGGGATAAAGAAATGAGCTCCAGGCCTGCTTGCCTGAGTCTGCATTATGTTTTTTTTTTTTTTTTTAAGAAGGTTTTTATTTAATGAATACATATTTCATATATACAGCATTTAGGAATATAGTGGTTCTTCCTCATTTTCCAGCCCTCCCATCCCTCCTCCCATCCCATCTCCTACTCCCTCTCCCATTTCATTCTGCATTAACATTTGTTTTTCATTGATGTTATATACAGAAGTCCAGTTCTATACTAAGTAGAGATTTCAACAGTGTACACCCACACAGGCACACAAAGTATAAAGGACAGTTTGAAGATAAGTTTTACTGTTAATTCACATAGTACATTTCATTAAAGACAGAGTTCCAACATGGGGAATAAGTGCACAGTGACACTTGCTGTTGATTTAAAAATTAACAATCTTATTTTTTATGTCAGTGACCATCCAAGGCACTTGACATGAGCTGCCAAGGCTATGGAAGCCTTTTGAGTCCACAGACTCCATCAGTATTTAGACAGGACGATATGCAAAGTGGAAATTCTCTCCTCTTTTCAGAGAAAAGTACATCCTTTGATGGCCTCTTCTTTCCACTGGGGTCTCACGGAGATCCTTCATGCAGAACAGTTTTTGCCACTATGTCTTGGCTTTCCATTCCTGAAATGCTTTCATGGGATTTTCAGCCAGATCTGAATGCCTTAGAGGCTGATTATGAGGTCAGAGTAATGTTTAAGGTGTTTGTCATTCTATGACTGTGTTGTGTGGACTGCTTCCCATGTTGGAACTTTCTCTCCTTTTTAGTTCTATTTATTGTTATTACCAGA